CCCACCCCCTCCTCTTGATGCACCCCTTCTCCCTCCCGCCGCTCCCTCTCCTCCCGCTGCGCCCCTCCTCTTGCCGCTCCCCCTCCTCCCTCCTGCCGCACCCCCTCCCCTCCAGTTCCTCGCCTGCCTTTTTCTATCCTCCTGCTCCGCGCTCGCTCCCCCCTCCCCCTGCCTGGCACTTGCCGAAGTCACAGCAACCAGCCCCAGCCCACCTCGCAGTCCCTTCTCTGGGGGACCGAGAAAGGCTGAACCCCTTGTAGCTCCTGCTAGGACCCCCCGCCCCGCCCCGCCGCACCTTCCAGCCGGTCCCGACGCCGGGTACAGTCTATGTCCTCCTCCGGCGACAGCGACAGCAGCCACTGGCCGAGCGCCCTCCTGGCCGGGCGTCCGTGACATCCGCAGTCCCCTTCCCAGCCCTTCATGCGCCGCCGCCTCGGCGCCCCGTGAGTCAGACCCAGGGCCCCTGCGCCGGCCTCCCCCCCCTTGGCCCTTTGTCCACCCGCCCGCACCCCCGCGTCCGCCCTGCGGTGTCCCCGCCACCCACGTAGCTCACCGCGCCTCGGCCTCCCGGGACTCCCCTGGGCTGTGCCGACTGGGAGAGGTGGTGACCGCAGTGGGAGGCGCTTGTCATTCATTTGTCACCTTCCCTCCTGGCTGATCGGTCCCCCTTTCTGCTGTTGCATCCCCCCAGCTCTTTCCCCCGTGGAGCCCCCGCCGCACGCCCGGGACCGTCCCACTGTCCCCGCACGCCCGGGTCCCTCCCCGCTGTCCCCGCACGCCCGGGACCGTCCCGGCTGTCCCCGCACGCCCGGGTGAGAAGAGTCTCACTCTGTTGCCCGGCTAGAGTCAGTGCCTGGTGGTCAGCCTAGGCTCACCAGCAACCTCAAACTCCTGGCGCTCAAGCGATCCTCCTGCTCCAGTCCCCTCCCGATGTAGCTGACTCAGCATGCCCACCATGCCGGCTAATTTTCTTATATATATTTTTTCATGGCCAAAAATTAATTTCTTTGTAATTATTCAGTAGACGACAGGGTCTTGCTCTTGCCAGCGTGGTTCAAACTCCTGACCTTGAGCGCATCCTCCCGCTCGGCCTCCCAGAGTGCTAGGGTTACAGGCGTGAGCCACCGCGCCCGGCCAAAATTATACCATAGCGAGATGTTGAAGTTAGACTTCGGTGTAATTGACGGCTATTCGTTTATATCACAAAACCAACCAGAAAGCTACCATAAAATGGCAGAAGCTTATTTCTGACTTCCGGCAACCCAATGGGAAATTAGCAATGGAATGACATCCCTTTTAATTTGGTGGGGAAAATGGGGTGAAAAGAAAATAAAACTCAGTGGGGCCCGGGCGCGGTGGCTCACGCCTGTAATCCCAGCACTCTGGGAGGCCGAGGCGGCGGATGCTCGAGGTCAGGAGTTCGAATATCAGCCTGAGTCAAGAGCGAGACCTCTCGTACACTATCATAGAAATAATATTAATTTTGGCCAACTAATATATATAGACAAAAGTTAGCGGGCATGCTGCGCCATGCCTGTAGTCCCAGCTACTCGGTGAGGCTGAGGCAGGAGCCGCTGACTCCGCTTTCTGTGAGCCATAGCTGACCACGGCACTCCACTCTACCCGCGCAACAAAAACTCAGTGGGGAACCAGGGGAAGAAACCAGGGACTGGAGGAACATGGTCTGAGGACCCTACTAGGGGACAGGCTCCTCCAGAACATGCATGCATCGCTGAGCAGCTTTATGCCAACGTCATTCTACCTTGCGTTTTTCAACAAAACCTGCTGAGCCCTTTCCAGATCAGAGATGCTGGGGGGCAAGAGAGAGCAGAGCAGACACCGTCTTGTTCTGCACCTAATGAGGATTGCACTGAAGCAGGTGAAATACATAGGCTTTAAACAGATCAATACACTAGTAGGTATGTAACAGCTTGTGATAAGTGTCGCCCCGGTGGCTCACGCCTGTCATCCTGGCACTCTGCGGAAGCGCAGGTGGGAGGATCGCTCAAGCGTCAGGAGGTTCACGACCAGCCTGAGCAAGAGCGAGACCCATCTCTACCAAAAGAGATCTAAGGCAATAAATCCAGGCT